CATATCCATGTCCTTTTGTGGCAGTAGTAAATCAGTACATGAAAAATAAATTTAAAATTCCTATTTCTTATTGTAGCTTTCTCCCTAAAAGTCCAAGAGAGACTATAGGGTACTCTGATTCCCGATGCAAAACAGGAAATCTGAAACTCTGCAATCTACACAGTTTTCAAGTGTATACACAAATATACCACTGCATGCCTTTTTAAAAGGAGCCATATGTAATCTAATTCTATTTCAGACTGTCACTTTTAAAGAGGAAATATAACCTCATATAGATCCCCTGAGGGCATCCGTGGGGAATAGAGACACTGGTAATCAGCCTAAGTAGTCCTTTGTGTCAGAAGCACTTTGCTGAAGTCAAGAGCTGTCTTCCAGATTCACAATGTTTGGAGAAATTTCACTAATGCAGCATTTCTTTTATTAGGAGAAAAACAACCAACTGCTTCCTACAGAGAAGACTATACTTGAAAAGATGTGAATATTTATTTTCTTGTTGCTTTTTACTTAGCAATATGTCTTACATTGTTTTTAGGATAACCAAATGTGAGGACTAATTCCAGAATTTAAAGTGAATTTTGCTCTAAAGGAATCCCAGAAACCAGTTGTACCTCTGATATAGAAGATGGTCCTCAGATGTTCATCTTCTTCAGTGACTGTCCTCATCTGATGACCTAACAAGGGGTTACCTATAAAGACAGGACCTCCAAGAAAGCCTGTTTTCAGAGCTGCTTGCAGATACTGCCCTTCAGGGCACCTGTCATTCATCACTTCTTTTCTTCTTATTGGCCACAATCAAACACACTATCCACCAAAGATTGTTTCTCACCTTTCTCCATATTTATGAATAACTAGTGCATTCCAAACCATCTTAAATGAAATATCTTATTGAAAGGTAATTTCGCATGCTTGTTTTTCTTGTGGACTACTTGATAAAAATAAGTCTCATTTACTCATGCCAGTACAAAACCATTGGGATTTAAAATAGCAGAGACAATGAGCCACTGAAATGATTGTTTTCATTATCTGTTAATTTTCTCCTCTATGTATTTCTTTTTTTCTTACCAAACGTGACTTTAAACTGCTACGAGAAGCACTAAGAATGTCATTCTTCTCTTTATTTAGTATTTCGTTTTTACCAGCAAGTCTTTTCAGTAAAGCCCGTATGACAGATAGAAGGGAAGATACAAGGAACTTAATAGTGACAAGGGATCAAGTTAGTTTAAAAATAAGGAACTGGGCTTAGAAAAACCTCAGTGACTTAGATCATAGAAGAAGTGAGGGGGGAAATTGTTTGTCTAAGGGCTCTGTGTTAAAGCTTCCCAGCTTGAACACAAAAGGCGTTTCAGCAGTATGTGGTCCAGAAAGCCAAGCACATGAAATCCTATTTCCATGTTTTAAGCATGCCTTGGCAGTCGGCACATTTTTGAAATTGCAACTGGCGCATTTCACAGAGAATTACCATCAATGCCTTTTCAAGGTCAAATGTGCTGCCTTTTAGAATTTCTGGCATTTATGTTCCATATATTAAATCACAGAATATATTTTGAAGGCATTCAGCGGACAGATGAAGTAATTTTAATTAATTAGATGGTATTTTTAAAAACTTACTGATTATTTTCTATTTGATATTAATTGCAAGGTAAAAAAAAAAAAACAACCCTGAAATATATGTTCACTTTGAATGTGGGTGTTCTGTGTTTTTCAGGGTTCCAGGATCCCACAAAGGTATGTTTGAACAGAAACCTAGTTGATGAACTTTCCAAAAAAACAGACATTTCTCATTGGGAATATTGAAGTGATATGATAAAAAAGAAAAGAAAAAGCACACAACAAGGAGAAATTATCATCATTTGAAAATGCCAAACCTCTGGGATACTGTTTCTTAAATGAACAAAATTAAACTGAATACAGACATTAAAATGATACATAGACTGTACTGCTCAAAGAGGTGCCTCAGCTGGTCCTCTCCCAAGGCAGTGAAAAAGGCTTTTGGACTTCTCCTCAAACAGAGGCATTGCTGGTCTGGCTTTGTTCATATTTTTTCCCTCTCTAAGCACCTCCCCAATCACATTCAAAGGCATCTAAGCCATTTTGCTTCACATGGGTTTTGCTTTTGGAAAAGAAAAGTGATTTGGAGAAGTTTCAACAATTTTGGGCTCTCATAGCATCCTTATACTTCCAAGATATTTACACATTAAATTAGAATCCCAGAAAAAGGATTTGGGGTAGGGTTGAATAAAGAACTGAGTTATAAATAGCAAGGCATAAACCATTTATTTTCATTCCTAAAACATTCAACCGTTATTGGGCAAGAGTTAAATGTTATTTTGAAAATGATTATCTTTACCTAAGATTAGAGGGTGCCCCATCCCCCATCGTTCTTACTAGAATGCCAGCTTGGTCATTTTTATATTACCAGTGACTCTCTTCTGGGTATGAGGGACTCTAAGATGGCTTACTTCTCCAAGTCTTTTGTGACTTCCCCTTTTGATCCTAGAGTGGGCCAGGCCTGCACCTTGATATTTTCCCTGGTATAATGTGTTACACTGAGAGCTGTCCCAGGCTGCTGGTCCTGCCCTGCCCCTGTAGCTACAATGAAGCTTCTGGCAGAAGAAGGGTGTGTAAGTGAGTCTGTCTCTCTGTTTCTTTCCCTGCTGGCTCTCCTCCAATGCTGTGGTTCTGGCATTGTTCAGTCTTCTTTTGGGGCTCCCAGACTGCACTTATTGGGTTCTTCCACTGTCTTTATCTTGTGAGGTTTTTGGTGCCCTGAGTAATTGCCCTGGGTTTTTGATCATTTTAAATTTTAACTCCTAGCTATCTTTGTTGTCCTGTAAGTACGTGATTTAAAAGCCTATGGAAGACAAAGATGTTTCTCCCTCTTATCACATAAAAGTCTACCCAATGTCCTGTTATTTGCCTTAAACTTGCTTCACTTTTGGTCTTTGCCATTTCATTAAATAGAAATGCCGTTTTGCTAGTTCAAACAACAGCAGCACACAGAGGGTACACCAGAAGGCCACAAGAAACTCCTTGCCTTTCATTCTCCATACTCAATGCCTAAGTCTCATCAATCCAAAAGTTCATATGGTTTCCAAAATGCACCCACTTTACCCAGTTTTACCACAATCAGTTCTAATAAGTTACAAGAAAACAGGAGAATCGACGCACATTCCGTGCTAATTCTATCCTCAAGCTACGCTAGAGTCTAATGTACTAATATGCTTAAGTCCAATGTGCAAGGTGGAAGTCAATGGAGAGCATTTTAGGTTTTTATTTTTTTCCAGTAAGTGATCTGAGCTACATTCTGTGCTTTGTAACACAGTAGTAGAAAGCAGTTTGATTAATTCAACAGAATGAGCACAAGTTCACATATTCAAACCGCTGTCACATTCCTCATCATTGATTGGCATGGTTTTGATGTATCTCTACCTATCTAGATATTGCTCCCAAGTGCCTTAGACTTCAGATCTCCACCCCACTGTTCATGCCTCTCTAAACATGTGCCAGTAAAGCCCTGGAAACTTAGCCACTTCTGTTGTCTCTGTGCTTAGATAGTTATGCAGAATCCTACTAAAGGTTAATAATAAAACCTGGAAGCCAGTGGGACGGATGTGTACGCTGTGATGCTAGAAAGAACCAACAGATGTTACCATAAATAAGTCTAGTCATGCACTTAGAAAAAGCAATTAATTGTCGATTTGCAAATGCAAGGTTTCAAAACTTTAAATTGCAGTACTATTACGCTCTAGAAATCATGTAACCGATCCTCTTTGCTTTGAATTTTTAAAAACTCAACATTCAAAATTAAAGTAAGACACTCATGCATAAGTAGAAGTCTGTCAGAAATTGTACATAAGAAAAAATATTAAAAGATACCTAGCATACTACAGGAAGGAATCAATTTTAAGTTAAACTGGGTAAAATTTTAATAATTCAGAACTAAAACAGTATATTCTTCTAAAACATCTCTTTCTAGTTTTATTTCTCCTTCCTTACTCTTTCACCCTACCCCTCCTCTTCCCTCATTCCATCTTTTTTTTACATGTAAAATGTTTTCTTTGCATTATTCATTTTGTGTAACAGTGCCTTGTGCAATCCAAATAACTGAACTTGAAATAAATCATTTTCATTTTCTTAATATCCTAATCTTCCCAGAGAATATGTGACTAAAATATTAGATGAAACTCCTTTATGAACTATCCCAATATCCCATCACTAGTCCACCATGCAGATAACTGAAAGGAGCATTTTCTACATTTTAAATTTTTCAATTTAAAAAAAATGAACCACAATAATAAAACAGAATTCCACAAAGCTGGACAGAGTAGCACATCAGAAAACAACCTGTAAAAAGCAGAAGTTGTGTGTCCTTTGTGTGCACCCACTAGGAGCTTAACCTCTATTTGCAGGGTTGCCGTCTGTGCCTCATTAGTTTGGCCCTCTAGGTGCTGTATCCTGAAAACAATTTCGTCTGAACAAACTTGGAACCCTTGGTATCAAACCAAGAGATGTAATCTCCATAAAATTTGCTCAGGAGTATACATCAAGGATTCCCAGTTCTTCAGAACCACATACATGTCTAATTAGTCACTGGTTTGGGTCATATTCTAGGAAGAAGATGAACTCTATTTTAAGGTAAGAACTATAATCATTGGCCATTAAAGGTGGAAATTCTCATAAAACTTTGGCTGTTAAAAACATGTCTGAGCTCCCTGGTGTTTTTACCAAGAAGTTGTTCAACTCAAGCTTTTAAGAGAGAAAACTGAATTCTCTCCCCAGCCCATCTGTACCTCCATATGCACAAAATGCAAGCAAGTAACTGTTGTTAACTCAGGTCAGGATCTGACAGCAGGAGGGGTGAGCTTTTGGTAGCATCCAGGTATCCCTTTTCCTATGTTCCCTGCCAAGACTCTGACCAGCCCCTTCTGGGCCAGGTGTCAGTAACACAATATTAATAGGAATTGTAAACTCCCTCATGTAATGCAGTGATCTATACTTACCGTTTGATTGTTTCTTCCTGTCTTCGCCGTTTCTCATTCTTCTCTTTCAGGTAAGCCAGATTTGTTTCATTTCTCAAGCGATCGTTCTCACGGGCAATGTCAGATGCATTTTGAATAACCAGCCCATCATATGCCTTCATCCCCATATCCTCTATATACTGGAGAAAACTGTCCAAAGGGTCTTCTTCAGGATTAGCACTCATCATCTTGGAGGGTATCATGGAAACGGGATACTTCCTGAAGATGGACAACATATCATACCCTTAGCAAGGTTGTTAAGGATCATTCCTAAGATTTTATTGTCCCAAATCTCAAGTGAGTTATCAGACACCTCAGGATATATGCGGCTCTGGTGAGTTATGACTCTTAAGTTAATGATTACTGAGATGTCTCCATGGGTAAAGGTGCTTGCTGGCAAGGCTATGGACCCAAGCTCCAGCTCCAGAATCCCTATAGTAGATGAGCATAATTGACTTGCTAAGTTGACCTCTGATCTTCACAAATGCACCATAGCACACGTGTACTCCTGCACTGTAAAAAAATTGATGTATTTCAAATGTATTTAAGCTATGGTGAGTTAATATAAAGTTGTTATAGAATACCATTAAGGAAAATCATAGTACTAAAAAGGATTATATCCCATTCATATTATATTAGACCACTGTGTTCCCTTAAATGAAGCTGAATTTTCTATAAATAATTCATATTTATACATTTCAGGTTTTCCAATAAAGAAAATGCCTCATTATAAATTACACATTCCACGAGTATTTGAAATAACATGAAACTTGTGTTACTTGAGTGTCAGATGTTCCATCAAACCATCAGCATCAGCAGGACAAAGGACCACAGTTCAGCCCTGCCACCTGATAATGTATAAGCATTGCGTCTGAAGGTAAATATCTGGTTTGCATCATTACACTCATAATTTTGTTTCTCAAAATATGTTGCTATAACACCAAAATCCAAATTTTGTATTTTCATTATCATAATGACATTTCCATGCATATATAAATTAAAATTATGTTATGTTGGAAAAAATAAATTATATTTTCCTTAAATATGTAAGTGAAAATGTATACATCTACATTGGCCATACAAAAGGTAATAGCAATCAAAAAAACATATTGGCCATCTAATCGGTATACTTTTGTGATTCTGTGTTATTTTCAAAATGGTTCTCTATAATCACTTCATATCATAATTTTCTATGATATGTGCATTGTCAAGCCCACACATCCTCAGTATTTTGGAAATACTTGCTTTGATATTATTGTAGTACTGCTAATTAAAAGTCTACAGACTTTAAACAACTTACATTCCAGGTGCAATAGCTTGACAAATCAAACCCAAATCAAGCCATAGTTTAAAACATGGTACTTTGACCTGGTGTATTTAGCTCTCAGCTACAAGGGAATGACAAAACTCCCACTACCTGCTGTGATTTGTAGTAGAGATGGCTGTGAAGGGTTTAGAATAGAACTCAACAGTAGTATGCACAATAAAGCAGTCTAATATCATGATAATGTTGGTGAAGATACTTGGCAACAATGTCTATGTGACGTGAATGTGTGAGTTGGTGGATGGATGCATGATGGATGGGTAGGTCGATGGATGGTCAAACAGGCAAGTTTTAGGAATCACTGTATTTCCAAGTATTCAAGACAAGGTAGGCAAACTGCCTGAACAAAAATAAAGAACAAAATTAAATAAAAACAAAAAGTTAATCTTCTATATTAATAAGGCTTCTTTAATTTCCTATTTGCTGTAGCATACAAAGGTGATACAAGTGAGTGAAGTGTGGCACATGTCTATCATATTTAGAGACACTTTCTCCAAATTCACAGAAATTTATAAAGTATTTTACAGCTTTTTTCCTCCTTTAAAAATCATAGAAATGTTGATCAATCCATCCATTTAGTGAAAACATCAAGAAGTTTCTTTGTTTAAGTATACATCAAAGTTATTCTAAATCTCAATTCATATTAGAATTAATTAGCCTTTTAGCTATCAGTTAACCCAAATTTGAATCTCATGTTAAACTTAAATATTTCTTTTTCAGTCTTTGATATTTTAGAATCTGGAAGTTGTTTGTTGACTTTGTATTAAAATTTTATTATTTTCTGCATAATATCTTAACTCCAATGGCTTAGAACTGAGTAGTCTTATCATTCTAACTTCATAGTATATTGAATTATATAATTCAATTGTATTAAGAACACATACTTTAGTGGCAGGCACCTGGGCACTTAGAAAAGAAGAAAGTTCCATGTTGGTAAGAAGGTTCAGGAAAGTCTCATCCAGCTATCTGAAGCATTAATGTTATCAGGAATTCACCTACATCAAGAACATCTGCAGTAAGAACTCTGGGCTAAAAAAAGACCATCTAACTTTGTGGCAGTTAATCTTGCCTAAGTCAAGCAGGTCGACTCATGTTATAAGCATGCTAGAGGTAACACCTCAGGTTAGAATGATTCCTTCCTCTCTGCCCTCCAGCTAAACTGTACTTTTCCCAGATGCAAAAATCATGCTTACTCAAAAGGTTATATTTTATTTATTTTGTAGAGGTTTTCCACCAACTGTAGTGATTCTTATACAATTTACATATTTACTCTTTAACAAAATAGTTGACTGTTTTTGATCATTAGTTATCATTACCAATGGCATTTCAAGTTACATGGGGTTTAAATTGCTGTTTTTCTGAGAAAATATGAAATTATATTATTGCAAAAATATTTATACATGGAAAAAGTACTTTTTAACTTGCATGGATTTTTTTAGATGAAAATCAACTGAATCGTCAAGTAAAACTCTATATTATGAAAATGGGTTACATGTTTATGTATGTGCCTATACCCATCTGCAGGAAGGTAAGTTGGTCATATGATCACCCATCTATTTAAGAATCTGTTGGGCACCTGCTACAAACAAGTCACTGAGGAATGGCAAAGTATAATCATCTAGATGTCATATGGCAGAAGAAGACTAGAATAATAATTACATCTCATCTGACTCTCGTACTGTTTACATCATTAGCTGGCCGTGAACTCCTATTGCCACCATTTTTGAGGATAAACATGTATAGCATCTCAACATTGACACGCGGTCTTTAAAATAAGATTAGCAGCCTGTCAATGATTGAGCTCATAGTATCTTGTCTGCTGGTCTTCACGGGAATTAGTTTGTAATGTACAGGGACTTTGACAAAGTCCTATAGGGCAGAGGTACAAGTTATTCCATGTGCTCTAAAAGTCTCAAATGCATTATTTCTATGTCTAGGGTTTTGCATTAACTAATATCTTTAAGCTCTCTTTACATTAAAAAGACATGGAAGTTGGAACAGACCATGTCATAAGGATTTGGTTTAAAATGTATGGGTTCAGTAAGCCCTGTAACAATATTGCTATGAAAGTCTTTCACAAACTCCTTTTAAATCAAATATTTTATTACATTAAGCTGTGGATTTTTTAATAGATGGGACTATGATGCCATAACTTCTATTTAAAGATCAGAGGACATTTGGACATTTTGAAGTGAATGGCTTATCTGCCCTATCATGTGGGGGGTCATGGGAGTCTAATTCAGGTTGTCAGGCTTGGTGACAAGTGCCTTTATCAGATAAAACATCAGTCACCCACCCTCTATTGGTGTTTAAAATATATACTTGTTTTAAAAATTATTATTAATTTATTTTATTGTATATATATATATATGTTTATTTGTGTGTGTGTGTGTGTGTGTGTGTGTGTGTGTGTGTGTGTGTGTAGGTAGATAGGTATGTGTGTTTGCATTCAGGCATGTTTTCCAAAGCATTAATTTAAAAGTCAAAAATCACTCTCAGTATTCAATTCTCTCCTACCACCTGTGGGATCTGATGTTGTAACTCATGTCATAAAGCTGCACACAAGAACCTCTACCTCTGGACCATCATGCAGGTTCTACCAATTAACAACTCTGGAAATTATTATATTTAACAACATGGCTCCCTGATAAACTAATTTTACTTTGAAACACACGGATAGAATATTTAAGACAATATTACTTCCATCATCACAGATGTTCATATTATGGCAAAGTTAGGAGACAACATATTTCTTCATTAACAAAATAATTTATCGAGACCCTTATGCATGCCACTTTCCACTGTCTAAATCTAGAAAACAATAGCACTGGGATGTATAGACTACAGTGCTCATTCCATCTTAAACCTTTTAACTTTGCCCTTCCAAGCTGAAAGATTAATGCATCACAGTTCCCTTATAGAAAATTGAAATATTTTAATCATCTACATTTGTATAACTGCTACCATTTACTGTAATAAGAAAATCCAGTTCATTACAAATGTGTTTTTATAATGCACTTATATAAGATAAATAATGAATTAGATATGTTCCATTTAGCCCATCTAAGACTTGGATGTAGTTCCTGCCTCTTAAATTGTAATTCTGTTTAAACAGACAGAATTTCACAGTTTGTTTCTTAGGAAGTAATATTAAGATACAACCGGGTTCTTGTGTGCTATATAGCATCTTTAGAGTTTTCTCAATAAGTGACCACCACCCTTACTTGATTTCTAATTAGATATAGAAGCAATAGAATGCATAAGACTGAAGGAGAATCTCTGCCTTCTTATGGCCACCAACAATTTTGTGCACCAATTTTTTGGTTAAAATAAACAAGAGACTTTTGTTGCCTATCTATGCTCTTGGAGCAATGTGTCTTCATTCTAAGAGTAGATATGCTTTCTTTGGAAGCCCCAGCAATGATCCAAACAGTGCAGGGCTATGTATGTGTTTATTGGAATTTATGGCTAAATTTGAAAATCATGTCAGGAATTCTCCTGGTATAGTAGGTTAAACAACAAAATCAGAAACCCATGCAATACACAGTGAAATTTGGGTCTTTATTTTATGACTTCTGATACTTTTTGCTTTGTATTTTCCAGCGATTCTGTTAATTTAATATTTATATTACTGTGCCTACAATCATGCCTGATCTTGCAAAGCTACAGATATTGGATTCAATATTAAAGTGACTACTTTTCAGCTTTTCATTTTACATTTCACTTTTTGTTACTTATAACCTGTTGACCACACCCTTCACAAGGATTTCATTGTACAATAGTATGACACTTTCTAAATTTGAGAATTGACTTAACTAAAATGTACTAATTAAATTCTTAGTGTGGACAAGAAATATAAACTGAGGATTTAACTTTGAATTGAGTTTTCTCCATGTATATTTTACACAAGCATCATTGTTCCTGAGCAGTGCTGAATGAAAAGCTGATAGTAATATTAATTTGTCACAAATATTCACATAGAAATAAAACTCTCCATTACCAAACACACAGCAAAGTCATGTAGGTCCAAATAAAATCAATGGAAACATAAAATTATAAAATTCCTACTTTCTTTTTTTTCCTTTTTAGAGCTGATACTTTAATCAAGGAAACTTGAGTGCTAAGCCATTCTGTAATGCTGAGTGTTAAAGAGAAATTTAAAAATAAAGGAGCATTTTTGAAAAACAAATGCATACAAATTTCTCCAGGATCATGTGCTTATGTAGCGTTTTCCCTCCACCAATGAAGACACCCACTGTGTGAATTGTCAGTTCACAAAGTGTATTTATTATAGCACCAATTCATGGTGAGATTCAGTTCCTCAAAGACACAGGCTGGTGTGTGAGAGAAGTCACACAGAAAGAGTCAAATGAGTATTTAGGCTGCCTGGCTCTTTCTCATCTACGTCTAAGCATCTCTCATCTGTCTCCCCTTTGTTTAAAATTCTGAACTAATTCCTCAGTTAGTGTAATCTCCTGCATTGTTAATTCACCACTCTAGCTCTGTTAGGGTGGACCTGATGGATATGAACGCTCACTCAATAAGACTGAGCCCTGTGATAAATCTTATAATTCCACTTACCCAGGTAAGAATCTCATATGTACCAACATCCTTTGAGTGAACCAGTCCACTAGCCTCTTGGGCACTGGTATTCTGTTGTTTTTCTTCCTAAATGGTTTTCCCCACATTTCTAAGGTTAATTTGTTTTCTATATGAGATTTGACTTTTCAAAGGTACAGATTGGTGTCAACTTCTTTAGTCTTGATTTTGTCGCCTATATTGAGTGGTCGAGAATGGAAAACAAATCTAATTTGGGAGTGAATTGTTTCCGCATATTTAAAGTCTCATAAGAACATCTAAATATTGGGCCACAATGCATACTGAAAGATATTTCTATGACCAGAATGAGATAAGGTTCATTTTAGGCTGTTATCATGATGTGATTTGTGATCTGCTGAAGCAACCTAATACACAGAAGAGAACAAATGCCTTGATGAAGGCTGGATTCTTCACCCTTACTTTATACTTACGTTTCCGGATTCCTCGTTTCTTTTCTTTATATAATTTTTGAGGCTTTCAAAGGACATTTGCCTAAATGCTATATAAAGTTTTGGAATTTGAGTTATTAAAATTTGATTCTGCCTCTCATTCTCATAATTGCATCTTTCCTGAGATGGAGAATCCTAGGGGTTATGTCCAAAGAATGTTTCCCCAGGTGATTTTGACTGTTTTATTGTGTTTTGTTGTTAAATTGTACAGCATTATAAAAACTATTTTCCATTATTTGAATCTACTTACACCAATCTAAAATCACCCACCACATGGTGCATATAAAAATATAAGTATTTAATAATCAGGCTTCACAAACATATGTTAAATGCACATGCAAATTCTTATCTAAAATTTGCTAACTTCATAGACTAGAACCAAATCAAGACTAGCTAGCACAGTTAAAGCTCATAAACCGTGCAAACCATGTCAAAATTGTTTCTACAGTCAAAGACTTACAGACTATCAAATACTAGTGTCAGAGATTTTTATTTGTGCTTGTAATCCTCTCCCTTACCCCACAAATGCTCACATTCATATTCTCGTTCTCAGTGATCTGAAAATGCAGCTGTTCTGCACAAAATGGGGAGAGAAGTTACCACCAAGAAAGCCTGCAGGAGTAACTACAAAGGCACTGATTACTTCTTTCTCAGAAAGCAGATTTCTTTGCAGGGATTTTTCTCCAGGACCCCCCTTTCTCCAAATTGGAAAATGGGTATAAATCATGCAAATGCAGTAGCATCATGTATGAGGCATCTCCCTAATTTCTAGGTTGTCATGCAGTCTTTAACCAAAGGTCTTAAAAGATTGGCTAAAACATCTCTAATATTAGAGGCTCTATTAGAGTGTCACTGGCTAAGGGACTTTGTGGAGCCTTGGGCCAATTGGTTCCAGACGCTTACAAGGCAGTATTTGGAAAGCATACAGGGTCAGTTTAATAAATTGCTGACTGGAACTACAATGGAAGCCATCTATTTGAGTTGATAGTCTATGACTGATTGATCGATTTTCAAGAATAGCCACCATTCTTTTCCCTGAGATTTGACACTTGTTCACAACTTTACAAACCAATCAAGCTTTATATCTCTGCTTGTCCCCTATAAAGTTGCAGCATTTTCCACAGGTCTGTATTCACAGTTTCCTAAATATTAACTGCCTTTTATAGAAGTCCCTCCTTCACTGAGCTGGACAAAATATGTTCTACTTTCAAAAACAAAGTATTTGTGCATATCTGGTTCTTGTTTGTTCACTAATTTTGAGGTTAACACTGAACAATATATCAAATAAATTTTATGTCCAGAACATGAAAAGTTGGGAGATTAATTTTGTTCTTGCTCTCTATTCATCATTCCATACTAATTAGTTATACATTTGTAGCTATTAAAATTATCAAAATTATAACACTTAACCTCTTCCATTAAATGCCTTTATATTTTTCACCATGTTGATAAAAATTTTAAAATGTACTCCTTTAGTACCAAAACAACTTTAGTATTTTTCAAGACAGATAAAATTTTTTTAATGCAATGTTTTCTCAGACATGCAATACCTACATTTCAAGTATTGAAAGTATTCCTGGGTAGTTTGAAAAATCAGAATGGAGACACTCCAATGAAATAAGTACATGTCCCAAGTAAAACCAGTCCACCTAAAGTTCTCCAGAAGATGTACATTTCGGCAAGACTAGTGAAATCTTCCTAATATTGACTGATATTAAAACACCTTTTCAGGAAAATGTCTATCTGGAGTCATCCACAAAACAAGCAGCTTCAGCCTCTAAGTATGTCTATCAATTTGGATATTTTGTGGTAAAGCATATCTCCTCTTTCTCAAAATGCAAAGCAGGCTCTCACTGATGACACCAATGAACTGAGCCTGTAGTAAAATATTTATGGTATGGAATTAAGACAAATAGCAGCATGCACAACTTGAATAGCAATTAGTGACATGGAAATACTTCAAATTCTTGTTATATTTCAACACAGCTTATTATACTAATGAAGATCTATTTAACATTTCCATGGTAATCACTAAGTGGGTAAGGGATTAAAAATAGCCAGGGGCTCACGAACACTGTGAATGCCCATGCTATATCTTTATTCCTGCTCCACCTAATAAAACATGCAAACTTCAGCATTAAGTATCCCTAACTAAAATCCATCCCATCTCTTAACCAATTGCTTCCTCTATTTAGTTCTAGATTCAATTAGCATGCTTATAGAATCTGAAAAAAAATGAGATACATACCAAATTTAAGTTCCCAGGGAAAGCTAAGTGCAATAGTCAGGAGGTGACTTGGGTCTGTCAGAGCCCTCTCTCAAGGCTGGTTTCGGGGCAGTTCGGTAGGAGTGATCCAGCACCATAAGAAAAAGACTTGTAGGTCAGTTCGGCTTTTCTTCATTTAAAGTGCATTATATCTGGATGGGAAAACTGTCGAATCCGAGATTCTTCATCACTAGAGACCAGAGCATTTTCGGTGTTCTTTCTATTGGATAAAATGCCCTTTAAAGTTTGCTAGGAAGATGCTGTGGAGAAGACAGCTGCTTGCCGCCTTAAATCGACATTCGGAGAAAAGAGGGCATAGCTAATGGGTGGGGATGAGCGCACAGCCCCTCTCCTTCCAGGGCCAGCAGGGAAGAAATTGAATGATTTTACCCACTTTGCTACATAGATGACTACCAGACCCGAAGCAGTCACCAAGCTGGCTAAGGTAACTCATTTGATCAAGTTCTGCAAAGACAAAAATAAATGGAAACAAAAATCAGACACATCCTCTCTAAATGTCTCCTTCCAGCCCCAAAGAAGATGCCTTTTCCCGTAGCATACATACAGAAGGTTTGGAGAAGCCTAGCTTGTAGCATCATCCCTCCCCCATGACAACCAGCTTGCTCTGGCTCTGGTGTATGTGTTCTCTCTCTCTCTCTCTCTCTCTCTCTCTCTCTCTCTCTCTCTCCCCCTCCTCCCTCCCGTCCCCGGACTCCCTCCCTTCCTGCTTCTCTCTTCTCTCCAGCTGCCTTAGTCTGTTGATGCTGCTGCTGCTGATTAATCAGGGATTCTGGAACAAAGAACCTACCTTCTGAAATAAGCAGTAATCTCTCTCCTCTGCGTCTGCAATCCGCCTGCATTGAAGGGCAACGCTGCCAGCATACTAGCACCTTGGATAGTTCCCACACCCTAGGCCCTCTGCAAAGGGAGACAGAAAGACTGAAGAAACAGCAAGAAACCCGAAAGCTGCACCGATTTCGGCTCCCCGGGGGCTCCCATCCTCATTAAAGGCCTCCCATCCAAGCAACAGAACACGTCTCTTTTATCTAAATGTGCTAAAGTCTGATATGTCAATAACAAAATCAAAAGAGGATAAAGAAACCTTTCCATTTATATACACTATTTAGCTCTAAATCCATCCTTTTGGAAAGGAAATTTTAAATCCATCAGAATTATTGTTCTTGTATGGAGAATATTTAAGTTATGAGGCTTTCCTCCCAGTGGGGCTAATAAAAATGAGCAACAACTTAAACGGAACTCTCGGATCCCAGTTTGATGCCCTTATTTGATATCAATTTTTCCTCCACCCACCCTGCACAGCAGAGCCATGCACACAATTACTGCTGACGTACTTCAGGCTCCTGCTTTCGGAGAGGGGGAGGAGCCTTTTAACCTCATCAAAACAGCTTGATGCCACCTGCTCCCATGGCATGAGAACAAAACTAGCCCACTTGGAAAGAACGTGCACAGCGCACGTACACAGAACAAAGGTCTCCCTGGGACCGCAATGTTTTAACCAAAGTAAAATGCACAGTGATTATGGCATATGGACTCCTCACTCCTTCAGACTCCTGCAGACATGCTTTAAAGTCATTCTATTTCTTGCCTTTCCCAAAGTGCTTCTGGATTCTTTTCTTAATACTCCACTGAAGCTGTGTGTATAATTTATGTTACGTGCTATGATTGACAGATGTGTATATACTTGTGTCCACACATGCACAATATATTTATATACTCGTGTGTGTGTCTATATATATATATTATATATATACATATACATATATATGTGACAAATACAAATTTTCAAGCTTGTTTTTCCCCAGAATAAATGATGAAAATAGATTTTAAAAATATGTTAAGTTTGTGTATGGTGTAACATGACAATTCCTGGGTCTTATTCTGCATAATGACCAGACAAGAAGATAAAGGAATGAAGGAAGAAAGTAGGAAATGATCATGAGAGGGAAGGGATAAATAAATGAGTACTCTGGTAAAAGCAAATAATAAGAGATCAGTTTATGCTTCATATGGGCTAAAAGGATATTTGCATGAGAAAATGTGTCCACACTATTGCACAGACCTCTCTATATTTTTTTTAAAGTCACTCTCCCCCAGCAACTTTTATTGTAAATGGCTGCTGCTTGAGGGCTGCTCTCCTTCTAATTAAACATCCCGATTCATAAGCAATTCCATAAAACATTCTTATGTTCCAATAAACCCTAAAAGCACTATTCTTGAGGTCACCTTCCTCATACTTAGACGACAAGTAGGGCTGTGCCATGATTTTATATGTTTTGCTTTTTTACTTTAACTTACATGTATCTGGAGAGAAATAAAACCAACACATTATATTGCAGTGTATATCTTTAATATATATTTCTCTATGTAACTTGACATTCTCTAATATACATTTTATAGCTCACCATGGATTTTAAGGTCTCTGCGTATCTAGCTTTTGAATGAAACAGGATTCCAGTAAATGAAATGAGATGTCCTGGAAGACTAGATACATGCGAAAAAGACAGGGGAGTATAGATGGGGAAGAAAAAAGGCCAGATCAGATGTGTCTTTGTCAAATATTTCCCCTCCCTTTCCCAGCCAGTCCCCTCTCTTGTGTTAAAACCTTAGTACATCTCAGTAAACAGACTCAAGTACCACTTACAGCCTGGCAACAGAGCCCATCCCACAATCAAGAGTCATTATTTTTGGTAGTAAAGTGCTCTCATAAAAGTTGTCTTTCATCACAGAGCCAAGGTGAAAAGTTGTCTTTTTTTAATAAGGAGATCATATGACAGATGCTTTGAGGAGTGGAAATATTTTTATCATGACTGATAATTTAAGAAGGTTTAGATGGATATACTTTGAACTATAGAGAGTGCTAAAAAAAAATAGGTGAAATTCCTCTACGTGTATGGATAAACAGTACTCAGCCAAATGAAATGACTTGCCACGAGTACCGCCAGCTAATCAGGAGTAAAAACCAAGTCACTGATTCTTATTGTCACTGTCTAGTACAGTAAGTTTGTCACTATGACTCCATGCCAGAAAAAAATCCCTACACAATGATGTGTGTGTGTGTGTGTGTGTGTGTGTGTGTGTGTGTGGTTGATGATTGCCAAGCATAAAAGGAAAGGTTGGTTTTAACATCAAAAGAAGTCAAGTGATAAACATAGCATATAGATCTTAAAAGTGTACATTTCCAGTGTTGGGAAATTGTATGATATTGGCAGGACCTTAATTCTTTCTTTTCTATCTCTTTCCTTATTCCCTCCCTCCTTTCCTTCATTTTTTTCTTCTTTTCTCTCTTCTGACTCTTCTTTCCTCCCTTCCTTCCATTTCTTCTTCCACCTCTTTTCTTTCCTTTCTCCATTCTTTCCAATGTTTATTTACTTCCCTTTTTCCTTGTCCTTCCATAATATGTTCCACCATTGCTCATATGCACAATCCCACATGGCCTCATCTAGCCACAGTGTATTCACTGGACAACTATGTATCTGGAGATGTATTAGTCTGTAGGATTTTGTGTCACCTTTGAGGTTTGGTTCCTAGAATGATTTCTTCAACTGGACGATGAGTAAAACAAAAATAACCTGTTGATAGTATTCAAATAATCTTAGAACCAAATACAGCTTCATGTCAGGGAAATACACATCAAGAAAAATTAAATTTGAAAATCTTTATAAGGATAAAAATATATAAAGAACCCAAATCTCAATGTTTAGCTATGTGATTTTTTTCCTATTTTTACAGAGTGGCTAGTGTCTCTGGTATTTCTAGGAATCTAGATATTGGATGTCTTGTGAATGAAAATTTTCTAAAAGTTCTTAAGTCAAGGTAAAGTTACCTCTTTTTGTTGTACTGCTAAAAGGATTTGGTGTTTTGTGGGTTAAATAGATTACTTCAATAAACTCTGGAGGAGAGGAGAGTTCTGGAAATGTGTCTTATACTATAAACCAGCCAGATAGCTGGGATACATTTATGTGTCAGAGCGACATATATGATAGAACTAATAACTGGCATAAAATAATCTAGCTGCCTAAAATTTATCTCCAATCATTCTCTGAAGTTTTGTCATAGTCTTTAGCAAGCCCTTTTTAGTATTTTTGTGTAGTTTGTGTTCCTTCTCTTATTCAATTCAATCAGTTTAGGAAGATAAAACCCTGGTAAAACAAAGTTATTACACTAAGTCAAAAGCTAATATTCTTCCCAGCCAATAGGTTGTCTAAGCCACCCAGAACCAGCAGGAGAAGAAAGTTTTGAGAGAATAAGAACCATTTCCCATTCTTTATTTTGTCTCTAAACACTTAGATGTCAGCAGAAGTCAGAATGATGACCCATATAGGAGCTGGTGAGCTGTGTGTGGTACAGGTACTGCCCCACCCAGGTACTTGATGGCTACATAATGACTAATAGTGTAATAACACTCACAAAACTACACTTATAGCATCTGGGGACACACTGATATGGTAAGACAGGTAAAAAGGTAACAGAAACAGACACCACCACTTCATTTGAACAAATGGTTATGTTTTAGTGAGGGTTTATAAATATAGATGTTTTCATCTCTTTTTTCAGAGTTTTAAAATTTCTAATAAAAAGACACCATGCAACCAGTGAAGCAGACACCTGCATTCCAACCCTCCATATTCTCTCTTCAAATGGGTAATATCTACTCCAGCTTTTTTCCCTTCAAAGCCTGTTCTAACTCACTAGAGTGAAAAAATGTGTAATTGCTGTATGCTTTATGAAATATCCAGTGTATTATTGAATTTACAGTCATGAGAGTTTTGTCATACACTGCAGAACATACACTGCCTGATTCTTCACATGTGCCTCTGTTAAACTTCTCAAGGAATGCCATTTTGCTGTCTATCCCTAGAGTCCCAGCACAATGACTATATCCCACCACAGTTGAAGATTTGCTGAATGGAGACAAAACTCCAAGCCTCAACAGATGGCATATTCTGCACACAGGTACAAAATTCAAAGCACCTATGTGATGATCATAAAAAGACCATCTAAGGGTGAATTTATAACTGAATACTTAAAAATAGAAGTAATAAATCAAACCCTAACTGCTTAAGGACAATTCACACTTTTCCACCAGAAAATTCAAAGACTTCCAATATAAAATTAACTAGAAACAATAAAGGACTCCACATGAATAGTTGCTGAGTGTACAAACATGTGGCTTCTATTTAAAGAAGACACTAATGTTCTTTTGAAATACTCTTTTAGGAATGAAGTTTGCAAGAAAATACCACAATCTGTATGCCTTTCACAATTCTAGTTCTCAAGGCCAAGGCCAAGGTGACTATGGAGAGGAAGAGACAAAAAGATGACAGAGAGGCAGGCTGATAGGCAGGCAAACAAACAGATGTATTATAGATGTTAGATAGATGATAGGTAGATGATAAAATAGATTCATGGTTGATAAATGGTGTGCAGATTCATCATGATAAATTGATAGACATTTATAGTTGATATATTCAAGATAGATAGATAATAGAAAGAAAAGATAGAGGGAAATAGAGAGAAAAGAGTATGGAAAGAGGGAAAGAAGGAAAGAAAACCTAGAAATGGTCGATCAAATTATAACATAAAAGACAAAAACCCTGAATGAAAATCAAGAAAAATAATCCATAAATATTCAATACAATTAAGGAAGAAATATTACAGGGTAAATTTAACTAAAACCTGTAAAATTATTTGTAGTACAATATATATGAGATCTACCAGTTATACATGTCTATAATATTTTTAAAAATCATTATATACAACAAGCAATCCTTGAAGTAGTAGACAATATAAGTACCAGAAATGCATCATTCATTAAATAAGAAAATAAGATGGGAAATAAGTAGAGGAAATGATGATTAATTTTAATAAGACTAAAAAGTAAATTAAATCAGCAATGAGTCGGGTTTTAATAACTGTCATACTGATGTAGAGGAGGAAGAATGGACAGTTATGTGAA